ACACACACACACACACACACACACACACATATATAGTTATAGATATATAGATATATATTGGCTGGTGTGACATCCCATGAGTGAAAACAAAGTATTTTTCAACATCTTCTTTTCTTGCAGAGAAACCTTGTGTGAAATTCTATCACCCTGAAAGGAAAAATGCAGAACTATTAAGTCTGTGTAGAGGAAGAAAGGAATGTGTATGTGCAGAAGGTAAAGAACATTACCACACTATCTACTTATATATTTATTCCGTTTGAATTTATTCTATTTGGAACTTAAAGAAACAGTCAGTGACAAAAGACATTAACACTTACCTTGAAAGATGCGACCTTTATTGATGGTTTGTGTGTAGCAGAGCATCACATGCTGCAGACAACAGAATAGTAGCTACTCATTTCTTTTAATTTTTTGTCAATCACAACAAATTGGAGGGCATGTGGACAACCATACAGTCTCACATCCTCCTTTGCTTATAAACTATACAATATTTTATCGTAATCAGAGCTTTGAATACTCATATATTTAGAAAGTAGCATGCTTGCATAACAACTTTTGCATTGTTTAAGAATTAAAGACATTTTTATATCTTATCCCCATTTTAAGAGGCTCAAAAGTAATTAGACAAGTGGATTTTTTCCACGGTTAAGAAAAACTTCTTCACATTATGGCACTCATATCATTGTCTAGTCTACTATCAAGAGATCCCTCTGAGTAAAAACGTATGAAAACCTCTGGTTACACTCAAATTAGACTTTGACAGAAAAGCTCTAAAACAGCCTGGACAGTTCTGAAAAAAAAAAAAAACATTGGAAAGATGAAACCAAGCTCATAATTAGAAGCATTCCAGATCATCTCTCAATCATTAACCCAATGTTATGGCATTAGCATGTATGGCTGGCAGTGGATTATGGTCACTAATATTTATTGATACGTGATTATATAACTATTAGGATGAATTCCGAATTGTGCGAGGCTACACTATCTGTTCTAATTCAGCAAAATTCTTTAAAAATGCTTGAACAGTGGGGCTGGGTATCCTCACTAATTTTTATAACTGATTCGATTCAGATTCACTAGGTCCCAATTTGGTTTGATCCCTGATTCGATTTGATTCCATTCCATTGTGACTCTTTCAGTCAGAAATATTATACTTCTAATCATTTATCAGTACATATCCATATTTTTATATCAATGTATAAAAACAAAGTTGACACTTGTGGGACTTCAACAGAGGTGTAAGCATCACAGCAGATGCCTTTGTGTCAAAGTAACTGAGGATAAAACACAGAAACACATGAAAGGCGTTTTGCCTGGCCTGGCTTTTTATAGCGATAACCCTTAAAATATTCTGCAGTAATCAAAAATTGAAGAAAACCATGAATCAGTTACAGAGGGTTTTTTTTTTTTTTTTTTTAAACAGAAATTAGTTTTCCAATTTGGCTTAATCTGTGAAAGCTTAAATTTCTTCGGTATCCATTTGATCAGAGGTGGCAACAAGATGTAAATGTCCAGAACTTCAGGGAACTGTCTAACAAAATAGTGGTGTCCATTGCATGTAGACAATAAGAATGGGCTACATGTATCACATTAGAATGATAAGAAATATTTAACCCGTCAGAGATGATTAGAAGTGATGATTTTTTTTTCCTTCTTTTTTTAAAAAAAGAATCAAAGCAATCATGGATTTAGCTTTTTTTTTTTTTTTTTTTTTGTGAATTTATGATCATTAAATGTCCAATTCTTCTACATATGTCACAGTAACTTCTGAATAAATAACGAGTCATAAACAAATGAGTGAACAATGAAACAAAATACAGAAAAAGTTATAACTTTTATATTTTATAACTTTTAACGACAACAAAAACAATAATAATGATATTAATAACAACAATAATGATATTAATGATAATGATAATATTAATGATACAATTTGTTGGTGCCTTTTACAACACTCATCTTACACAATTACAGTGTTGAAAGAAAATCAACATCTAGGAATAATATGAACAGCTGAACACATTCACATCTGCTCAGTCATTCGAGTCATCGCTTGTGAATTTACTTTGGACCAATGCTGTATTTCCAGAGAATTGCAGTTTTCAGAGAAAGAATGAAGTCGGCAATGAAGATCGCATTGCAAAGGCCTGTGAAGTTGCAAAGGATGGCAGTATAGATTTTGGTAAGAGATATTTGTTAATGAAAAAGTGAGAAAACAAGCAAATGGTTTAACGATCTACAACTTGCTTCTTCTCAGTTTACAAAGTGAGAGTGGAAGAGTTGGAACCCTATTGGTCCACTGACTTTTACAGAGTACAAATTCTTGAAGTCATCAAGGAAGGTGGGTGTTAATTTCCTTTTTCTTTAATGACTTTCTATTAAGCTCTGCGGTTCAGTAGTAGACATAAATTTATTCCATATCTACATCATATATATATATATACCATCACCATATATATATATATATATTATATATATATATGATAGTCGGAAAGCACCTCTGTCTCAGTCAGATTGCATTTCCTCTAGTAAAAAAGAAATTTCAGGAAAAAATCTTTTTTTCTTCTACTTTGTCTTCTAACTGCAGGAAATACCGATGTTGGTCCAGAAGGTCAACCACGCATATTCATTAGCTCTCAGCACTGCAGAGAGGCTCAGGGTCTAACAGCAAGTAAAACCTACCTTATCATGGGCACATCCAAAGACATTTACAAAGATGATGAAAAAAGAATGTGAGTTTTTATATATGTGCATGTGTGTGGATCTTGTGCATTTCTTCTTTTTTTTAAAAAAAAAAAAAGAAAACTCTTGTATTGAGAAAGCACATTAGACAATAGCAGTAGTATGACTTTCTATATTGCTTTTGCTTTCACATTTTTTAACTTTTAGTTTTAAGAACAGAGAAAAAAAACAAATAAAAAACAAAACAAACAAAAACCTGTTGGAACTTGGGTGAGGGGTAGCAGGTAGCCAAGTTACCATCACAATATTAGCATGAGTATTTGAATCAGTCCAGGAGCATTAAAAGTGGCACGGTTCATAGAAAATCACACCTCACAGGCTCAACATATTCTGTCCACTTAGACCAGGGGTGTCCAACTCCAGGCCTCAAGGGCTGGTGTCCTGCAGGTTTTAAATGTGTCCTTGATCCAACACAGCTGACTTAAATGGCTAAATTATCTCCTCAACATGTCTTGAAATTCTTCGGATGCCTGGCAATGAACTTTTCATTTTATTCAGGTGTGTTGACCCAGGGTTATATCTAAAACCTGCAGGACACCAGCCATTGAGGGCTGGAGTTAGACACCCCTGACTTAGACTATATTCTGTAGAAGGTATCCCTCTGCACTATGAGAAAGAAAGACAGTTGTATAGGTCTCTTTTATACTTGTGCATATATACAAAGGTTTCTATCATTAGAATTCAGTTTATTCACTGGTATGTTGCCCAGAAATATGGTTTCAAAGGTTAAAGGAAAACTGAACGGCTACCTTGAGGTACCCCTGAGCCCGGTACCATCCCTACACACTGGTCCCTGGGTGCCAAATGGCTGCCCACTGCTTCACTGAGTGAATGGGTTAAATGCAGAGGGGAATTTCCCCATGTGGATCAATAAAGTATATATTATTTTTATTATTATATTTTTATGTATTGCATTTATACATTGGGTGTTTTTGGCAACTTTTTGTTAACAACAATGTTAATTTTAGATTTAAAAAAAAAAGAGAGAGAGAGTTTGGTCCGTAACATTTTGAAATTATGGCAAGTATTAATCATGTTTATGAGATCGAGGTCTCCAAAACTCTTGTATCAAATATGATACAAAAGGTTATTATAGAAAGATTTTTTTTTCTTATGTCCATTGCATATATGTCATCTGTTTCATTTTTAAATCTTATTATATCAGGTTTAATATCAGCATTCAGCATCACAGAATGTAGATGTTGCAGATCTAACAATTTCTCTTCCAAGTGAAAATTTTCCCTACTTGATTTTTTCAGGTAGGAGGATATACTGTTTATTTCGCCTCTAATCAGTGCCTTCAGTGTGCAACATAATATTCCCTGTGACACCTCCTCATTCTCGTTATGATCTAATTAAATCTCTATTTCTTTTTTCAAACTCTCTTTAGCATATGGGTAATTTAGAATGTTTGTGTTCAACCTCCATAAGGTAGATCTATTTTTCCTGTTCAGGCAGATGTCATCATAAACAGAATTATGATCTGAAATGGTACAGGGACCTATTTCACATCACCACTGATGTTGATTGACACCAGTTTCGTTAACCTGCTACTCATTTAAGTTGCAGCCCCTGTAGTTATTATACACAGTTTGATGGGCTCCCCGCTCACCCTTGTAAACACTGAGCATAGAACACATAAAAAAGATAACATCAAAGAGGACCAAAAATCAAACTGAGGTCCTAACTTCCAAGGTAAAGGTCTCTGAGATGGACCCTGCTTCACCTCCAAAGGCAGCATCTTCATCAGTCTTTGAAGGAGGTCCTTGATGGCTAAGGTCTCACCATAGAAACTACCTCTGAGAAAACCTACTTATTTATTTATTTTGCACCATAAACCGAATATAATAGTCTCAAGTATTGAAAACAGAGTGGGTAAACCTCAATTTCCTGAGGATGAAGGCGCTCTCCTCTGAAGGCTCTGAGTTTTTCTTTGTAACCAGGGTCCCGCTTCTTGTTCGCCACGCCGCTCCCTGGTTCTTTGCCCACCAAACTGAATTAAACTAAAGCCAATTTGCACCAATTGTATGAAATAAATCCCAAACAAACAAGCAAGGTAGATTTAAGGTTCAATCAAATGTTATCATGTTGCTGCTCATAGTGTTACAATACATATGATATTTCTGACTTTTTAAACTTGCCTGTGTGAAGACCCAATGTTTTTGGTTTTTTCCTCTCACTTTTCTTTGCTCAGATACCAGTATGTGCTTGGTGAGAGAACCTGGATTGAGTACTGGCCCACAACTGCCGAGTGCCAGACTAGTGAATATCGTTCTACCTGTGTGGGAATAGAGGACCTGGTCCAGGTATACAAACTCCATGGATGTCCAAGGAAGTGAACCTGAGAACTACATAGAATTCTACTTTTTGTTTTGAATTTACAAAATTTACAATTCTGATATGGGATGCAAAAGTCGTAATATTGCAACAGAACTGTTAATTAAAATATCCATATGTGTGCTAACTGAAAGTAGAATTTTTAAGTTAAATACAGGTCAGTATGGATTAAAGTCTTTCATGGGATAAAGCAATGCAATAAACACGATAAACTGAAAAGACAAACCTTACCTAATAATATCATCTTCAGCTCTTTAGATGCTAGTGTAATAAGTAGTTCTACTAGCACATGCTACCTTTGTTAACAATACTGAATTTTGCTTCTTTATTTTCTCTCAAGTAGTTAATAAACATAAGCTTGATATGAAATGATGTTTGTTGTTTGAGTTAACAATGTGCTACCTATTGATTTTACACAGTCCATATTCATGCAGATCTTGCATTCTTGCAATGAGTTGTGCACCTACCCTTACAAAATAACACATTCAAAACATTGTCTGTTTTTATTACATCAGGAATAGGATCATCACATTATAATGATATGTCTTTGAAATGGTTATTAATATTTTTTTCTGTAATGATTGAAATTTTATTTTTGAAGACATTTGTGAAGTCATTACTACTTAAGGTTAAAGGAATACTTTGCTCAACAGCAATTTGACTAAGAGAAAATTAGGGTTGTTCCTATTTTGTTCAATGAGTGGTGAAAAGCAAGATATTTGAGCTTTTCAAACTTGATTTTAAACATTTTGATAAAAGTCAGTTGAGTCCAAGAGCAAATTAAATGCTGTGCTAAGGCTGTCATTCTCAGTATCTACATGGATGTGAAAATCATCAACAATAATTATTTTATCTGAGTTCAGCAATAAACTTTCTAAGAAATCAGATAGAAAATTTGAGTAAGGACCAGGTGGACAATATGTAACAACAAATAAAGCTGGTTTTTGAATTTTCCAGTTAGGGTGTACAAGGCTAAGGTACAGGCTTTCAAATTAATTCAAACTCTGTTTGGGTCTTTGGTTAATTAATAAGCCAGAGTCGAAGACTGCTGCAACACCTCCTTTTCAGCCAGAGCTTAGAGGATTCTGAAAGCTAGCATGACTTGAGGGTGTCGAGGCTGTGGACAGCAGGGCAGACACCCAAACTTTATTCCTGCACTCCACAGACGCAACAGAGACATTGGCAACAAAGTCTCTCCCGTCAGGTCCGATCGAGCTGAACAGCAAGGATACACTAGACTCCCTCTGGGTGGCAGTGTAAAGCAAAGTTGAAAAAAATCACTGGCATGATCAGGTTGCCTCAGGTCATTGGTGCTTCACCCTAGGAGGCAGAGCACAAATTATGTTCCCTAATGTCCAGTTCATTCTTTCACAAGAGCTATTGCCTATAAAATGGTAAAGGGTTTATGGACACCTGCCATGATCAACAACTCAGCAATCAGGAACTTGTTTGAATTAATTGAACACCTAAGCAGCTTGAGTGTTTCAACTGGGTCCTTAAGATGTTATCTCCTTGATGGTTGACAGTTTCTATGCAAAAAAAAAAGATCACCCGACTAAAAACACTACAGCATAGGTGTCAAACTCTGGCCCGCGGGCCAAATTTGGCCTACTGGTATTATACAGCTAATATTGTTTAGTATTAAGCTTTGCTTGTTCCATATTCAGTTTTTCAGCAAAACTTGTTTGAGTCCATAACAAAAGATTAATTCTTATATCTAGAGGAAGATTTTTTTTCAATAAATATTAATGTTAGCCCGCGACTTTGTTCCAGTTTTGAATTTTGGCCCACTGTGTATTTGAGTTTGACACCCCTGCACTACAGTTTTGCTCACTCTCCACCAGCAAATCATGAGGAAGCACCTCGAAACCATTGCACCCAGGTACCAGCACAGTGTGAGAAAACTGGGGCAGCAAATGAGCCATGGGGACATATCCTAGAATCAATCTGAACATGTGGATCCAAAGGATTTTTGTGTGTCCACAAAAGTGAACTGGTGGCCTCTTAGCCAGTAGTGAAACTTATCAAACAGCCCACTTCAAAGTAGAAAATTCCAACCGGTGTGCTGGGTACTTGAACTCCACATAGGTGAGGTACTTGCTCACAAATCCAATTGGTCTTACATTAGATCAACCAACGTGGACTTGTGATAGCACAGCACCAAGACCATTACTTGATCCATCTACTGAGAGTAGAAAGGACTCGCTGAAGTTTGGATGGACAAAAATGACCTGTTCCAGCAAGGCTTGCTTCAGCAAAAAAAAAGGTCTGCCTGCATTCATCTGTCTAATCATCAGTGTTCAGCTTCCTGTGAACCTGATGGTGTTTGTGCCCCTCCCCATGGGGGCTCTTGTCACCCTCTGTCAGTCTAAACAGTTCTCATTGAACTGTTGGTACAACACAGTCCATAGCAAGCGAAGAGCAGATTTTTCTCTGTGAGGGATGTCGTGGAACTTTTTAAATAAAATGCAAACACTTTATGAAGTGAAATTTATATCACACTGCAGCAGGAGAGGAAACAGTCAGGTCAGATGTTGAAAATAGAAGTGGCATTCGCTCCTTATATACAAAGTACGAAACAAAGAACATTTCCCCACTCTTACAGCTCAGCACCTTTCCCCCAGAGAGAGAGAGTTAAAACCTCTCTTAACAGTCACATGAAGATGTATCTCCTGAATCCTTCTCCGAGGGGGCCCCCTCCTGCTTAAGGGTTAGAGAGGGATCTCACTATCCGTCTAACGTCTCTACCGTCTAATGGTGTCTGGGTGTGCCAGTCCCTAACTACTCTACAATACTTAACTGTGTGGAATAAAGTATAAAACACATATATTGTGCTATCCTTTATATATAACTAATACCTCATACATAGTATTGTCAGAACACGTGATCAATGCATAAATGAAAAAGGAATTTTCATTAAAGGGAATACTAGTGTCTTGTTCCATAAGGTCAGATGCAATGCCTTTAACCTTGTCAGGGCCTGACCTTATATCCCCAGCACTCATGACACATCCCAGAAACCTCACTGATCTTTGCAGGAAATCATGTTTCTTTGGAGAAAGCTTGCGGTTTTGGGCTTAAGTTGCTGAAAGACCATCTCCAACCTTTGTAATGCCAGATCTTCTGTCGGGGCAAACACCAGGACATAATCCAGATAGCATACCTGAGCATCATTCTCATGAATGTGGCAGGGCTATTGCACAATCGTCGAGGCATCCGATTATGTTTATATAATCTGAATGGGGATGTGAAAGCTGTGTACTTGTCTTCATCATGTACTTCTACATTACAGTACCCAGAAGTGTGGTCCATGCAGATACTGAAGTGGCACATAGCCCAGGTAGCTACCACAACTGAAACGAGGTAGTTGCAGTAGGCTAACATTAGTTTTTAAAAAAGAACTTACTTCCAGATGTTTGTTTAGGTCGGAGTCTTTTGATGCTGAGAGCAGGTTGGTTGCTGGCAAACATTTTACAGTTTAGAGTAAAATGTCAGTGATCTATATTTAATCTCTGTAATATTCTAGATATTTATAATTGAGCTATTATAGGTTAGGGCTATTTCTTTAAAAAAAAACAACAACTTTGTAATATATTGTAGTATTTAATTTAGCTTAATGTTCTTATTGTGTTCGAGCAACTGTAACTGTTTGATACTGTAACTGTTTGGTACTCCTGACCATTACATTTTATTACAGTGATTAGAACATGCTGTATTAAAGGTAAAGCACTGCAGTGGTTTGAATCATCCCTATCTAATCGACTCTAATTTGTTTAGACAAATGGAGAGTCCTCTTCACACACTAAGGTTAAATATGGGGTTCCACAGGGTTCCGTGCTAGGGCACGCAAACAAGGGGCCAACATGAAAATTCCCCAGGGAAAGGGCCAGGCCAGATGGTGGAGTCAAACTCTGAACTTTCTTGTTGCAAGGCAACAGTGCTAAGTGCTATGCCGCTGTGCTGCAGTTCAATAATACACTAATAAATTGAACAAATTTCAATTAAATAGTAGCTTTAAAGGTAGATTTTTGTCTCTAAAGTATATGTTAGTCTTAACATAATTTAATAGACTATGTGTTAACACCTACAAAGCAGTTTAGCAGACTTTTTACACTAACTTTCCAACTGTGTAATGATTTGTACTGTTTTGTTTAACAATATATTCACTCATGGAGAAAGTTACCTTATCATTGTTAGGTGTAGATTTAGCCGCTGTCTGACCGAAGTGTGCATTTTTGCACAGCTGTCATGCTGCCTTTGTCATTTTTTAATCAGTTGTATCAAATGGCAGTGGAGTGCCATGATGCAGTGGAACAATGTAAAAGAGGGTCTTCCCAGCACATCAGACACTACAAATGAATCTGCCTGTATAACCATCAACAGGTAAAATCACAATCACTTTTCTTTTATATTGACTACCTACTATATAGAGAGAGCAATAGACAAGAGTTATTTTTCATGTTTCAGCACCATCAAAACAGAAGTTATGTATTTAAAATGGCATGACATGGACCTGTAGCTTGGAGAAAAGCCACGTCCACCCCTTCCACTTTTGGATATTCTACAATGATAATTTTATTTACCTAAAATAATCAAATGTAAGGGAAAACAGTGTTTAAACAGAGTATTTAAATCACATTAAAGTACTACATTATTTTAATATTAATGACCATAATTTAATGCATTTATACTATAATTATCTGATAAATTATTACTTTCTTACCATTATATGATTTATATCTGTCAAGGTGAGGGACCTCTTTCTCAAACCTGCATGACTCAGCTCAAGCTCTTCAGTAGTACAGAGAGTGCTGGTTGTTCACTAAATATACATACACAATAAATGGGCTTACAGGTTCTAGCCTTTCCTGGTTACAGTTGTAAGGGGGTAAAAGCTTTGTTTTTCCTTTTTGTTTGGCAAAGAAACCTGAAAATGACCTGCATGTGATAGGTAAACATCATGTATGGACATTATAGCATACTATTCCATAAAACAGGTAATTAATATGTAACAATAAATACCAAGCTGTAACGCCTCATCTTGAACTGATGATTTAATATCTGTGCTTGTACATTTCTGTGTTCATTAATGGGAACTGAAGTTTGTTAGACTTGTTTGACTGTTGAATACTTTGTTTTAGGACATTTATCAGATCTTGAGCAGTAGCCTTCACACTGATCACACAAAGTTTTGAGAGGTGGTGGCGTTAGGGAGGGGGAAGCATCACAAGAGAGAGGGCTGGCTCATACAAACTGGCCTACAATAACTTACAGTCCTTTTTAAAACTGGCATGCAAGAGTCATGCAGAGTCACTGGAAAAGACGTACGTGCAATTTAATAGTTCCACCTGAATTCGAGACAGTATTGC